TATAAGTGGAACAACAAAGCCTGGATGACAACACATCTATTTACAGCATGGTTTACTGAATATCAGAAGCCCGTTGTTGAGACCTACTTATCAGAAAAAAGTTTCTTTCAAAACAATTATTCACTGACAACACACCTATTTACCCAAGACCTCTGAAGCTGTACAAGGAGATAATATTATATCCAATACTTCACTCTGTAGTCCACAGAGCCAGGAGTCATTTTTACTTTCAAGTCTTATTGTTCAAAGAATACATTTTGTAAGGCTACAGTTGCCACAGATAGTGATTCCTCTGATGGATCTGGGCAAAGTGAATTGAAAAGCTTTTGGAAAGGATTTCTCACTCTAGGTGCCACTAAGAACATACGTGATTCATGGGAGCAAGTCAAAATATCAACACAACCAGGAGTTTGGAAGAAGTCGATTCCAATCTACATGGATGACTTTGATCGGTTCAAGACTTCAGTAGATGAAGTAACTGTGGATATGGTAGAAACAGAATTAGCATTAGGAATGAAGCCTGAAGACATGACTGAACTGCTGCCATCTCAGGATAAAAATTTAATGGATAAAAGTTGCTTCGCATGAACAATGAAAGTGGTTTTTTGAGATGGAATCTACTCCTGGTGAAGATACTATGAACACTGTTGAAAGGACAAAAAGGGTTTATAATATTACATAAACTTAGTTGAAAAAGTAGCAGCAGGATTTGAGAGGACAGACTCCAATTTTGAAAGAGGTTGGCTGGGCTCGGTGGTTCAGCCTGTAATCTCAGCACTTTGGGAAGCCAAGACGAGTGGATTGCCTGAGCCCGCGGGTTCAAGACCCACCTGGGCAAATTAGTGAGACGTCTCTACGATAAATAAAAAAAAAGGAGCTGGGCATGGTAGCACACACCTGTAGTTCCAGCTACTTGGAAGGCTGAGGCGGAAGGATCACCAGAGCCCAGCAGGGCGAGGCTGCGGTGGCCATGAGCATACCACTGCACTGAGTCTAGGCGACAGGGTGAGATTCCAACTCAAAAAAATTTTAAAACAAAAGAAAGAGGTTCCACTGTGGGTAAAATGCTATCCAACAGGATCATACACTACAGAGAAATACTTCATAAAAGGAAAAGTCAATTAATAGAGCCAACTTCACTGTTGTATTATTTTAAGAAATTGCCACAACCACTCCAACCTTCAGCAACCACCTCCCTGATCAGTCAGAAGCCAGCAACACCATGGTAAACCCTCCCCCAGGAAAAAGATTACCATTCTATGAAGGCACAGATTATTAGCACTTTTTTAAATAATAAAGAACTTTTTAATCAAAGTATGTACATTTTTTTTTTAGACATGCTACTGCACAATTAATAAACTACAGTATAATGTTAACACAACTTCTACATGCACTGGGAAACCAAAAAATGTGTGTAATTTGCTTTAGTGCAATATTCACTTTATTGTGGTGATCTGGAAGACAGTCTTTAATAAAACCTCCAAAGTATGCCTGCATCGACAGTAGTTCTCTGCAGATTAGATATTTTTCTTATGACTTACATGCATTTTCTAAATTTTCACTTTAAATATATATAGCTTGTATTACAATATGTGATTTTTTGAAAGTACCACAAACTAAATGCTTATTCATATCTAAAGTCCTAACATTCATTTTATATTTATAAATCTATATGTAATAAATGTTTTACATACCTACCACATGCTATACTCTATTCTAAGCACTAGGAATACAGCAATGAACAGACAGAATCCTCCCTACTTTCATGGAACTTGCACTGTAAGGGAAGGAGAGACAAACAAAATAAAATTTTACAAATTATCAGAGAAGCGCTGACTTCTATTTTAAAAAAAATAAAGCAAGAAAAAGAGCTAAGCAGCAGTGTGAACAGGCAAGAGGGAGTACACTGTGGTCACAACAGGTCTTACTGTGGGGGTACCTTAAAATAAAAATCTGAAGAAGGCCGGGAATTGAGGCATTTAAACATCTGGAGAAAGAATATGCCAGACAGTAGGAGCATCACGTGCAAAGGTCCTACAGCAAAAGTGTGTCTGGGATATTTAAGAGTCAGGATACGTGGAATGAGCTAGCAAGGAAGGAAGTGCAGGAAATGAAGTAAAGATGTAAAATGAAAGGGGAGGATCTTTTGTAGGGCTTTGTACCATACTACGGACATTTTACCACCCAGATGAAAACCAATGAGGACTTTTGAGCAGAGTAATAGCCATCTGACTTACATGAGAACAGGATGCCTGAGGCTACTTATGTTTAGAACATACTTGGAGAGGGCAGAAACACAAAAACCCGTGAGGAAGCTATTACAGTAATACAAAACATCGTGCAGCATAGACCAGGATGGCAAAAATGGAATTTATGAAAAATGGTCAGTTTCTTTATTTACTTAGAAGACAGAAATGACCAGACTTGCTAATAAGCTAGGCGTGAGGTATGAGGAGATCAGAGATAAGAAATTCACTGGAAGCTAAATACTGGGTACATAGGAACAACAGACAGTGGGGACGCTTTTTTTTTTTTTCTTTGAGTTGGAGTCTCACTCCATCACCTGGGCTGAAGTGCAGTGGCATGCTCCTGGCCACCGCAGCGTCACCTTGCTGGGCTCCAGTGATCTTTCTGCCTCAGCCTTCCAGGTAGCTGGAACTACAGGCATGCACAACCACACCCAGCTAATTTTTTTATTTATTGTAGAGATGAAGTCTCATCACGTTGCCCAGGCTAGTCTCAAACCCGGAGGTTCAGGCAATCAATCCTCTTGCCTCGGCCTCCCAAAGTGCTGGGATTATAAGCTTGAGCCCTGCGCCTGGCCAGTGGGGACTCTTAAAGGGGAAAAGGAGGGAGGGAGGGAGGCAAGGGTTAAAAAAATCTCTATTGGATACCATGTTCACTATTTGGGTGATGAACTCAACAGAAGCCCAAACTTTATCACAACACAATATACTCATGTAACAAACCTGCACATGTACTCCCATGAATTTAAAATAAAACATAATTTTTAAAAAAGAGAGAGAAGGCCGGGCTAGGTGGCTCAGCCTTAATCCCAGCACTTTGGGAGGCTGAGGTGAGTGGATTGCCTGAGCCC